TCTCATCTGTTTTTCAAATTTTGCATAAATGTCATTAATCTATACAAAGTTCCTTTCCCTGAATTAGAAATCAACATTTCCTTTGTATTATTCATAAATGTACGTTTGAAGCAGAGTTTTGAGTCTTCCCTCAATGTGACTGTCCTATGCTAAGTTATAGACTGATTGATTCAGTAAATCAGATTCTCAGTGCGGTTCACCAAGGTGAAAACTGTAGCATTTATTCTTTCAGAAAAAGCAAATGCGTTATTTTGTACTGTTCAACACTTGATAAGGTCACCCCGAGCTTTAGTTAAAAGTTCACGTTGTGTTTCTCTGCAAGAAAATCCTTTGCTCAACCATTGAATATTTGTCTTTGATGTTTGTCATATAAAAGGGGAAAATAGTAGCATTTAAAAAAAAAAAAAAAAAGAACTCTGTGTCGTGCACACAATTGCTTTGCCAGGTTTATACACAGTGTTTCCCTTTTATTGGCATCAATTAGACGGATGTATTAGCCCTTATCTTGAGGTCAGGTTTATTATGAATTTAAAGCATGTTCAGTTTAATTATTCTGTACAGATTGTTGTAATTAGCTGCTGTTATCATCCTGGGTAGGTCCAGCATATTTGTCCTGCTTTCCAATGCCAGTCTGTATAAATTGGAGGAATTATACAGAACAGACTTCAGCGTTCGAAGCAAATAAAAAAATAAATAAACAGAAATTGTTTATTGCAGAATTTGGATGTATCACAGAAAATAAGACCTAGTAAAAAGACTGAGCTGAAAAATGCAATTTAAGGACAAGGCTCTTATTCTGGCTAAATACTGGCCAGTCCTGGCTCAAGACACTGGAAAAAGCTTAGGCTGCTCCAGTCCTATATCTATATATTTTTAGCGTAAGCAAGCAATCCATGCGTGTACCTAAAACATATCACTGCAGCTGAGGAGTGCTTAATGACTGTAGGAAAGCTCCTTAAACATTGCTGAGAGCTTGTAACCATGTCCTGTGCTCTTCACACAAGAATGTACAAGCATAAAGAGGAACTTCACCCAAAAGGGGAAGTTTTGCTTTTCTTCCTCCTCCCTCCCTCTTCTTCCAAATTTGGATTTTGTTTTGGGGGGGGGGGGAGCAAGTACCTGATTTTGATGGGTACCTGCTCCCACTTCCACTGCAATGCCTTGGTGATCGGAGTAGAAGTTCGCCCCCCACCTCTCCCCACAGCCACATATGTCACAGGTCTCAGGAGACTGCGGGACCATTAATGGGCACAGTGGGCAGCCGGCTGTGAAGCTGCAAGCAGTCACAGCCAGCTGCCCACTGTTAAGATGCCAGTGCCTGGACCCAAAGATTGTGTGAGGACATTGCTAGATCCTGAGAAAAGTAAGCATCTGTTTTTTAAAAGTCAGCAGCTACAGTATTTGTAGTAAATGAGTTACTAAAAAAAAAAATTTGCTGAAATAATTTCTGAAATAAATGGTTGAAGTAACATACAGGCAGTCAAGACAAAAAAATACTTTGTAAGTAGTAAGTCAAATTTTTCAAATATATAGTACTCTGAGCAGGCCTCTTTTGTTCGAAGCTTCTCTCTGAAACACTTGTGGTGCACTGAAGCAGAGAGTATGGGTTAAATTCCTTGGGAAAATGAAAAAAACAAAAAACCTTGAAAACACAAACTGTTGTGGATACACGACACCTTGAACTGATTAACCATTCTCTGTTTAGAGCATATTAAAATATTGCATTATCTGTTATGTGTTAGTAGTGACTACTATCTTTGGTCCTTGAAAAAGCCACATGAGCTTTTGAAATGATTGAAATAAAGATTGCTGTTATACACAGGGGCAGACTGACAACTCATTGGGGCCCCGGGCAATAGGGGATCATGGGGCCCCTGTGTCCTTGCCCAAACTCAAAAAAGCCTATGAAAAAGGTACCAGGGGCATCTCATGGGGCCCCCTACTGACCCCGGGCCCTCGGGCTGTGCCCGAGTTTCCAAATGGTCAGTCCGCCCCTGGTTATACAGTATGTAGATACATTTTAACAATCACAATAAGCTTAGTAACCTAAAGATGGCTCAATGATGAAAGCTGGCCACAGACATTAGGGAGCTGTTGGATTTGTACGTACTATCCAATCATCTCACAAGAGGGTTAGTACTAAGTGCAAATAGGTTGATCACTTTACAAGGGAATTTGCCTCCAGTGCTTAATGAATGTGGTGAAGCTCTGCTGACTTCCATCATCTTTGCACTTGATAGGGTAATCATTGGGGGGGAAAAGGGAAGCTTCACCACATTTACTAAGCAAATTCCCTTGAAATTATCCACTTTTCTTGCAAAGTGAACAGCCTGTTTGCCTTTAGTAAAACAATCCAAATGTCTCCTGCTAAACTGTAGCAGTGCTGTATTTGAATTGGTGCTCCTTTTTGTATGGAGCAGTTTTGGCATATTTGCACGGACAGCCTCAGGCTGGTCAAAACAATAGTGATTTTCTAAGCTGCACAATCATTTTGTTTCCCAATAATCCTTGTTCAGAGTCATCCTCTACTGCACCATAGACTCTGAATTGTTGCACAAATAAAGCTAGGCAGAGAGAGAGACTGTCATCTAATGTCAATGGTTATTTCTACACTACTCATAAAGATGATGTGCCCATTGCCCTATCCAACCATGAATGAATGGATTGCATAACAGGCATGTCTATGGATACACTGAAACCTCTGCAGATACTCGGTAATCTGTTTCTTTGTGATGGGGCAGGTGTGGACCAATAAGACAAGGTGATCCCTGATAAGAGTTTTCGCTCAGTGCAAACCTGTATGTTCAGTCTCAACAATTGTGCATGTTTATAAAAAGTTGTTTTGTAAGAGTTATCTTCTCAGACCATCCAACTGCCCGAAAATCAAGCTTTGGTGTCTGAATAAAACGTATGGGACATTGTTTACATTTTGGACTAAATTAAACTGTCTCAGTGGCTTTAACTAAATGTACCCTGGAGAGATTTATAATCTTCAGAAGTTGGAAATCCACTGGACTAGAAAATTCAATATACAAGTTGGAGTTTTATGCAGACTTTAATTATTTGAGAGATTTTACACAAATTAGACCTTGTTTTCATGGTGTGCAGAGCTTGTTCTTTAAAGGCAGACAAAATGTTTAAAGAGAAATTCCATTTTCTATACAAACATTTTTTTACATTAGCATGTTGCAATAATTCAGTACAATCTTTTTGCAGTTGTCTGCCTGTTTCTGTTAAGGAGGATATTTTGGCAAGCCACTTAAAGTGTTACTAAACCAACAACCGTAAAATCAGTCTGTATATGCAGTAAAACATGCTTGTTATTTTGTGGAACCTAAGGGGTTAATCCTCTGCATTGTGTAAAAAGGCTGTTTGATCCTATCTTCTCTGATCCTCCCCTTCTACTTTCCCCAATGCATCTGCTGATAGTACAGAGCTCTAGGAGTCACCTTGCACATGCTCAGTTTAGTGTGTTTGGCTAGAGATTTTTTTTCCTTTACGACAGTGCATGTGATCAGCACAGGGCCAATCAGCACTGTCCAGACAGAGGGTCAGGGGTCATGCAGTCTCATAAGACAGTCAGAGCAAAATGAAAACTCCTGCTACAAGCTTTAACCAGTGCTCAGCCGGACACTGATAGAAGCTACAAGACTGCTCTAACTGCTGATGAGAAACTATATTTATCAGTTTATATATACTAAAATAATTGCATTTGCATGTTGTGTGTAATGTGGGAGACCCATTTAGTGAATGCAGGGTCCTGAGTTTAGTAACACTTTAAGTCTTTAACAAATAGGATAGCTTCACGAAAGGTGTAACATGTAACTATGCAGCAGCCCCCCATTTGACAGCATGCTGGGGTTCCCCACCCATGCAGCCACTGTCACATTTTAAAATCAGTGCAGCTGTGCTGGGCTCTATCAGAGATTTGTGATAAAATGAACTACAAGTCCCAAATGCCACCAAGGCAGATGACCTGCAGTATTCAAAGGACTATCAGAGCTCTGATGAGTGCCATCATAGTCCACCCTTCCTGCAGCTCTGAAACTGACAGCCCAAACAGAGGTACAGGCAGAGAGCTATAGGAATGAATGCAGGAGCCTGGCGTTGAACCCGTGATCCACTGATGGCAGGTGCAATGCCCTGAAGGTTTGTTATATACTTATAAAAAAAAAAAAAATATATATATATATATATATATATATATACAGACACAGTGCTCAGCGTATAGGCGTACCCCCCAACAGATTTATCAGAAAACCTTTCAGAATCAACATTTTCTATGGGACACTATACTACAAAATACTCCCACTAATGCGATCCATTGATTGCAAGCAAGGTTTGTTAATTTGCACACACAAAAAAGTATTTTTCCTAACAAATTCCTTCAAGACCATGTTGCAAAAATTAATAAACCCCAATGAAATTCGTAGGAGCAAAGCTAAATTTTAGACGACAAAATCTTAATTAACAAGAATTCAACTACAGGTGAGTCTAATTATTCATTAAACAGGTGCCCAAAAGATAGTTGATTATAAAAGGGCGTTACTTAACAAAGAAGACCCCTTACCATTTCACGCTGTCAGCAATGGCACCACATGGAAGAGGAATGTCACAAGGCCTGATAAAGAAAATAATTTCTTTACACAAGAAAGGTGAAGGCTACAAGAAGATCAGCAAAGCTTTACTTAGTCAAAATACTGTAGCAAAAGTGATACAAAAATGTAACAAAGATGGAAGTGCAACCATCTCACAGAGACATTCAGGCCATCCACGGAAGTTAACAACCTCGACAGGAGTGTCTTCTGATAAGAAGACTTGAAGAAAATCACCATGCAAGTTCACTTCAGTTAGCTGAAGTTGAAAGCCAAACTGGGGTGATTTATTCCCATGAAACAATATGACGTACATTGCAGAGGAATGGCATGCATGGGTGTCTTCCATGAAGGAAGCCTCTCCTAAAGCCCGTGCACAAAAAAGCCCACCTAGAATTGGCCAGGGCCCATGCTGAAAAATAAGACTACTGGGACTCTGTACTTTGGAGTGATGAGACCAAGATAAATATTTTTGGAACTGATGGCTTCAAAAATGCATGCTGTCGCAGTGGTGAGGAGTACAAAGAAAAATGCATGGTGCCTACAGTGAAACATGGTGGGTGGCAGTGTCCTTCTGTCAGGCTGCATGAATGTTGCTGGTATGGAGGAGCTGCAGTTCATTCATGGTATCATGAATTCACAGATGTACTGCTCTATATTGAAAGAGAAGATGCTACTTTCACTCTGTGCCCTTGGCCGTCGTGTACTTTTCCAACATGACAATGATCCAAAACACACATCTAAGGCCACTGTTATATTTCTGAAGAAGAACAGTGATAAAGTATGTCTCCTGATCTGAACCCAATCAAACACATATGGGGAATTCTGAAGAGACAAGTTGAGCATCACTCTCCATCCAGCATCCAGGCTCTAAAGAAGGTCTTTCTTGAAGAATAAAAAAAGATAGATGTTGCAATATGTCGGCAACTTGTTCATTCCATGCCTAGAAGACTGAAGATTTAGCAATCTAAGTTATATTATTAAACCTTACTTTCATGTAATGAGCTAAACAAGTGTTATATAAAATTCAGTTTTGTCAAAATTTTGGAAATTGTTCTTGTGTTCATTGAGATATTGATTAACATCTTACTTTTCAAAAAGGGTGTACTCATTTATGCTGAGCAATATATACAGTGTGTATATATATATATATATATATATATATATATATATATATATATATATATAATTTTTTTGCCAAAAGTATTGGGAAGCCTGCCTTTACACACACATGAACTTTAATGGCATCCCAGTCTTAGTCCGTAGCGTTCAATATTGAGTTAGCCCACCCTTTGCAGCTATAAGAGCTTCCACTTTTCTAGGAAGGCTTTCCACAAGGTTTAGGAGTGTGTCTATAGAATGTTTGGCCATTCTTCCAAAAGTGCGTTTGTGAGGTCAGGCACTGATGTCGGATGAGAAGGCCTGGCTTGCAGTCTCCACTCTAATTCATCCCAAAGGTGTTCTATTGGGTTGAGGTCAGGACTCTGTGCAGGCCAGTCAAGTTCCTCCACCCCAAACTCGCTCTTCCATGTCTTTTTGGACCTTGCTTTGTGCACTGGTGCGTAGTTATGTTGGAACAGGAAGGGGCCATCCCCAAACTGTTCCCACGAAGTTGGACGCATGAAATTGTCCAAAATATCTTGGCATGCTAACGCCTTAAGAGTTCCCTTCACTGGAACTAAGGGGCCAAGCCCAACCCCTGACAACCCCACACCATATTCCCCCTCCACCAAACGTACACTTGGCACAATGCAGTCAGACAAGTACTGTTCTCCTGGCAACTGCCAAACCCAGACACATCAATCGGATTGCTAGACAGAGAAGCTTGATTTGTCACTCCAGAGAACATGTTTCTACTGCTCTAGAGTTCAGTGACAGCATGCTTTACACCACTGCATCCAACATTTTGCATTGCACTTGGTGATGTAAAGCTTGGATACGGCTGCTCGGCCATGTAAACCCATTCCATGAAGCTCTCTATACACTGTTGTTGTGCTAATCTGAAGACCACACAAAGTTTGGAGGTATTTAGCTATAGACTCTGCATGCAGAGAGTTGGCGACTCTGTGCGCTTCAACATGCATTGACCCCGCTCTGTCATTTTACGTGGCCTACCACTTCGTGGCTGAGTTGTTCCCAGTTGCTTCCACTTTGTTATAATACCACTAACAGTTGACCATGGAATATTTAGTAGCAAGGAAATTTCACGGATGGACTTGTTGCACAGGTGGAAACCAATCTCGGTACCACGTTTGAATTCACTGAGCTCCTGAGAGCAACCCATTCTTTCACAAATGTTTGTAGAAGCAATCTGCATGCCTAGGTGCTTGATTTTATACACCTGTGACCATGGAGGTGATTAGAACACCTGTATCCAATGATATGGAGGGGTGTCCCAATACAGTATAGTATGTGTGAGTATGTATGTGTGTGTGTATATATGTATGTATTTATATATGTGTATATATATATACACATGCACATCTTTTGCCTCTCAAAATATGTGCATTTATTATTTATTTATTTAATTAAAGGTGAACTTAGTCTTTATGTTGCAGTAGCAAATTGTGCATTGCTTTTTGGTGCCACTCATTTTCAGTGGCACCCCAATGCACACCTAGAGTAGCTGCCAATGCATTTATGCTGCCTGATGAGCATTGTGGTGCACTACATTAAATAAAAGGTGCCAGGAACATTTGTTTGTCCCTTGCCATGTGTTGGCAGCTTATTCTTAATGAAAGTCATTGCATATAATTCCACACTCTGTGCAACAGGGTGCCTGTATTTTGAATTCAGACCCTGTGTAGACTTTATAAGAGAGGCAATAAGCCAATTACAAGTTCAAGGGAGTAATTATATGAGGAAATCCTTTGTACTGATAGAAGGCTGTTGTCATGGTTGCAAAGAAATTACATGAAGCTACAATATAGCTTGAGTAACAATTATATGTTATAAAAAAAACAATTACTAAAATCTCATATGAGCTGTACTATGTTTACTGTATTTTTTTTTTATTTGCATTTAATTTTTTTTTAAATACAACCTAGTGATCCTGCCAGAAAGGTCCTTTTTTAGCACTTACTGTTTTATGGTAAAACACATTGTTCCCTCTCCAATTGTGCTTCGAATTGTCAGCCTGTCACTCCCTGTTTCAATGGGGCTGCAAGTGGCTGGTTTAACAGATAACAGACATTACATGGGCTTGCTGTGACCTTTTGGAAACCTGCCTTGAGAAATGCTTTGTAGCCATGGCTGGATTGCATTTACATAGACAGGAGGTGGCTGCAGAGATGCTGCGGGCCATCTGTTGCCCAAGATGGATGAAACAGATAATAGAAAGTTGTTCAGAACACTGAAGTTGAGGTTTACATCTACCTCTGTGTCTTAAAGCTGCATGGGGCTAAAATGGAAGAGGCATATATGCAGTTTCATGAAAGACCAGGATGTGGCTTTTACTTTTAAAGGAAAGCATTGCTGTTCTCCATCTAAAATGCTAAGGACCTGGCTGTCATGCCATTGACTCAGGCACTGACCTAAAATGACTATACGGATCAGGAGTTTTTACATTCAAATCTGAATGATTGTTGCAGCTCAGAGCCGGACACAATTAAGTAATTTATTTTTGGAAGGAGGTTAGCATTGCAGCCTGCAACTCAGAATATGTTTTCTTTAACATCAACATAATTATTATTGTATTATAGAAATGGAAACATGCTATTGTTTTCTTTAATTATGTTTTTTTTTTAATGGTGTATCTTTTAAATTTGTGCAATGGTATTTGCCTTGTACTCGTTTTATTCAAGTACATGTTATGTCTGATGTGCTTTCAAAAGCGAATTAATATTGTCTGAAATTTTAACAAAGCAAAGTATGAGCTAGACAAAAAAGGAATCCTTGCAGATAAAATATATATAAAAAGTAGAAAGCAATGGAAAACAATTACAATAAAGAAGAAAAATAACAATGGATCAGGAAACAGTGTGTTCCCATAAACAGTCATCTCTCATTCATCATAATGTTCTTTTAGCTGCCATAGCGAAACAATCGTCAGTGACTGTTCAAGAATACCAATCGGTTCTACATAATCACAAAATTCTATATTTTTTTATAGTGAAGTGCATCACTTTAAAGGGAAATAACTAACAAAGTAGGAAAATTATATTATTATTATTATTAGTATACACTCATCGGCCTCTTTATTAGGTATACCTGTTCAATTGCTTGGTAACACAAAATGCTAATATCAGCCAATCACATGTCAGCAACTCAATGCATTTAGGCATCTAGACGTGTGAAGAGGATTTGCTGGAGTTCAAATTGGATGGGTAAGAAAGGGGATTTAAGTGACTTTGAACGTGACAAAGTTGTTGGTACCAGACGGGCTGGTCTGAGTATTTAAAAAATTGCTGATCTGCTGGGATGTTCACGCACAACCATCTCTAGGATTTACAGAGAATGGTCCGAAAAAGAGAAAATATCCAGTGAGTGGCAATAGTGTGGACAAAAATGCCTTGTTGATGTCAGAGGAGAATAGGCAGATTGGTTCTTGATGTCTTAGGAGAATGGGCAGATTAGTTCGAGACAATTCCAGCAGAAAGGCAACAGTAACTCATGTCAATCTCTGAGGAATGTTTCCAACACCTTGTTGAATCTATGCCACAAATAATTAAGGCAGTTCTGAAGGCAAACGGGGTTCCAACCGGGTACTAGCAAGGTGTACCTAACAAAGTTGCCGGTGAGTGTATATTATTATTGTAATACAGGATTTATGTAGAGCCAGCACTTTACAATATAAATAGGGACAGCACAATTATAATACATTTGAATACAGAAGGAATAGGATGGCCCTGCTCATGGAGCTTACTGTCTAGAGGATCTATAAAGCGCTATAAAGAAACTCGCCAATTAACCACTTGCCCTCCAGAGGATTTACCACCCTTCTTGACCAGGCCATTTTTTGCGATCCATTGTTGCATTATATTAACTGACAATTGCTCAGTCATGCAATGCTTCACCCAAATTAATTTATGTCCTTTTTTCCCCACAAATAGAGCTTTCTTTTGGTGGTATTTGCTTGCCTCTTTGTTTATTTTTTGCGCTATAAACAAAAAAAGACTGCTACATGTCTTTGCTACAAAACAAAAATCCCAGTACGCGTAAATTAATTGGTTTACGTCAAAGTTATAGTATACAGTATATACTGTATTTATATTTTTTTTAATGCTAGTAATGGCAGTGATCAGCAACTTATAGCGGGACTGTGGAAGGCATTCTGACACTGGGGGGGAGGAACAGACTAACTGCCACTGACATCCCAGTGACACTCATACAGTGATCAATGCAATCAAAGGGTTAACTGTGTGCTGTGTTTTACTGTGTGTGCTGTGTTGTGTTTTACTATGTAAACATGGTACTGTGCATTTCTCTGTTTGAAGAGAAGAGCACAGCAGCATGTTACTGCTTGGCAGGAGGGAGACTGTGACAGGGGAGAGACCTATGTGTAAACAACACAGGTCTCTCCCCTGTCACTGTTTCTCACAATCGCTGGGTGCCAACAGGGAATCTCCAGCTGGGACCCAGTGATCAACATCTGTAACCACCAATGGCATGCTGCCCTTCTGCCCTGTAGTTGTAGTTCTGCTATTTAGCTGTCAGGAAGCCATTATCTGCAGCAGAACTATCGGTAATTTATCAAACCTGAATTAATGCATGAAGAACCCTTTAGAGTGGTATCACAAATACCAGGTATACAGCATGTACCTA